AAAACTTTTATATGTAAGGAAAAATACATATTTTACTAATTATAATTAGTAAAAAATTTAAGCGTTGCATTATTTTTAATTACCACTGTATATTAATTATTAATTGATAAAATTAATTATCTTTATTTATAATTATTTAGTAAAAAATTTGAAACTCTAAAAAAATATATGTTAAATTAAAAAAGTATTTTTATGCTAAAAATAAAAAAATATATTAATAAAATTAAAAATTTTATATATAGAAAAAGAAAAGAATTATTAGATATACTATATATTTTAAATTAATTTATATATATTAAATTTTTTGGATATTATTTTATAATAAATTATTTATATATAGTAATAATTTATAATTAAAATAAATACTATTTTTATATGATAGATTTAGAAGTTATAAAATTATATATAATTTTCTTTTAAAAAATTACTTTTTCAATTTTAGTATATAATATTATGAAAAAGAATTAACAAAAATTATTGCAAAAAACTTAATATTGAGATCTTTAAATTGATAAATTATTTTGTAATTCATATATTAAAAGTATATAAGCTTAAAAAATTATTTAAAAAATAATTAGTTTATTTATTAATTTATAATAAATTTGTATGTAACTATTTCAAGACTTTAGTAATCTGAAATAAAAATTTTTATTATTAAAATCTTTTCCAGATTATATAAAGTATTAGAATTATTATATAAATATTTGAATCATTTTATAAATAAATAAAATCTTCTATAAATAAATAAAATTTATTAAAAAAATCATTTAATATTTCTATTATCTTCTTTGTAAATGATCTGATTATTTTTTATATAATTTTTTAAGCTTATATACTTCTAATATGTAAATTATATAATAATCTACAGTCTTAGAGATCTTAATATGTGTGTAACAAAGTTTTTTGTAATAATAATTCTATTTTTCTAACTTTTTGTTAATTCTTTTCCATAGTATATTATGTGATGAAATTTAAAAAGTGATTTTTTAAGAGGAAATTGCATATAGCTTTATAACTTCTGAATATATTATTTGAAGATAAGATTTGTTTTGATTATAGATTATTATTATATATAAATAATTTATTATAAAATAATTATCAAAAAAATACAAGATCCAATAATATAAATTAATTTAAAAATGCACAAAACATCTAATATTTCTTTCTCCTTCCTGTAAATGAAAAATAAATATTTTTTAATAAAAAATTCAAGTATTATATTCTTTTTGATTATACTATATATAAAAAGATTATAATAAGAAATAAATATAGTTATCAAAATATTTATCTAATAATTTTTATAATATGATTTTTTATTAATTATTTTTTATATCTAAGTTATATATTATATTATTCTTTTTTAAAATATTTCTCTTGATAAAAATATAATTGAACAGAAGATCTAGTTTTATAAAGAGTTTGTTCTTTTAGTCTTCAATATCCGGTTCTTATAAAGTCTATTTTGATATTATAAGTGATATAGAATAGTTTTTTACTTATCTGATTCGATTCAAAAGTCAAAACTCAGTTCATAACAAACTTAGCAGATTAATAGCTCTATATATTGATATTAAATTTTATTTAAGAATTCAATAAGATATCATTTCACTTTCTATAACCCTAATTAATTTTGCTTTTAGTTTTTATATTTTTACATTTATTTCTTATTAGTTCATTATATTTCTTCAATAATTTTAAAAATCTAATTTCTCATATTCTAATAATTAGCCTTTATCCAGACGAAAAATAATAACTAATTATTATTTAATGTTATGAGTTCACTTTAACATAATGTAAATAACTTCCTATCGAAAGGTGCCAGGCTCATACTTTAAAATTAATAATTCTTGAGGTTTGTTAAAAAAGATTTTTATTTATCATGCGTGAATAGGAAATGCATAAGAACTTAAAATCATTTAAAAATTTCGCGAAAATCCATTTGCCCAATCCAAATTCTTCATAAGGATGCACTTAGAGAGATTTATTAAGAGTCAATACACGAATGATAAAAAATTAATTGAAAGTTATAAAAAAATTTATTTTCACGTTTTCAATTGATAATTTGCAATTATATAAAGTTAAATATTTGTATTATGTTCTTATAAATGGTTTCTTATTACATATTATCTTTAGAAGCTCTATAATTTTTCTTAATTTGCTTGATTTATCCAATAATAAACGATCCAGAATAAGAATGAAAAACAATACATGTACTTACACAAATGTATCAATTTTTAATTATTTATCAAAACAAAAAAATATACTGTACAACATGATGTAATTTCATATCTGATTGGCGGAACATAATCAACTACGTGATCTGTACATTTTAAATTATTTGCATGTAATATCTTGTTTAGTTGGAAAACTTATTCTTTTAAACATTCCCGGATGCGGTATTGCGTTTAATGGTAATAAGTTGTAGAACCTATTTTCCATTCCTTAATAAATAATTAAAAATTTTCATTTCTCTAATTTAGAACGAATTAAACATTCTATGCTTGTATCTTCTGAAATTCTGTCAATTCCAATAAAATTAATTTCAAATAATTTAGAGTGCAACATATATTTAGTTCCCATGAAAATTATATTTACGTAATTCTTCGGCAATTAAAAATTTTATTTTTGCACTGGTTATGTGCAAAGACGTGGATTAAATTAATAAATAGAAGTGAATTTTTTTGAAAAACTTTAAAAAATCTCATAAATAATCTCAATATTCTCTCAAATTTAAACAAGTCCCACTATGAGAAATACACCAACAATTTCGACTTTTTCCACACTAAACACTTTTGCCGAGATGACAAATATACCGGCAATTTCTGTACCTTTCCCACCAAACATAACAGCTGAAGATTACCTTAAAAGAAGAAAAGATGGCAGTTTTCCGAGCAAATCAATGAATTCTTTTATGTTATATCGAATAGCATTTAATAAAGAACTTCGCGCAAGAGGATTATGCGTAAGACAACAAGCGATATCTCGTCAAATCTCAGATTCTTGGCAAAATGAACCCGAACACGTAAGACAAATGTACAGGCTTCTTGCGATAAGAGCTCATGAAGAACTTGATCAAATACGTAAATGTAATTTAGGATCCGTTCCGCTTTTCACCTTTGCGACTGATGTCAGAATATGCTATTCAGACTCCGCACAAACTTTTAATTCAGATCATATTAATTCGAATCAAAATAATAATTCACCAATGCTCCATCCAGCAGAAGCAGCGCCAGACTCGATCCAAATTGCATCTACCAATAGCCAGACACAAGATTCATCTATTCAAGATGAGGACATTTTTATAAATTATTTAAATGATTTTTTACCATATCCGGAATTATCATCTGACGGAACATTCATGGATCTAAACTATTTAACACTCTCTTTTGATTCTTTCATGGCAGACTGTTATAAGCAGTGACTAAGCAAACAAATTTCACTCAAATAGATTGATGCGTTTTTTTTTTGATACAAATGCATAACTCATTTATTTATTATATTTGTTTAATAATTTCAAGGAAAATTGTAATTTATTGCAAGAAATTCTTAAGCTATACTTGAAATTGGAGCTAATAAACTTGTTAACATCCCGTATTTTTTTATCATTAAATAGTACTGCGCTATGTAAAATTCTTGATAAGCAATAGATAATCACCGATACATGATATAACTATGTATATATGTAGCGTTAGCATATGTATTATTACTATATAAAATAAAAAATTTTTTGACGTTATACATGTTCATGTGTCAACTTGGGAATCTACATGTACCTGTATGCAACCACAAAATAAACTTGCTGTAATTTGTCATTCCCCCCGTTTTGATCTACGTACCCGCAGGCCAACCACAAAATTTAAAAAACAAAGTTTTGTTGATTTTGGTACGTATTATAAAAATCATAACGATAAAGGTAGGCAATAAATCATAAGTCTTTACTTGAACTTGCAGTATATTTAATCTCATTTAATATTGAAATAGATATATATTATTGATAAAATTTGTTGGTTAAAATGAGCCGCAACCAAATACGGTACATATAAGTGTATTCTATTAGAATTTACTAATCCAATTTCTGAATTATAATCTCTTCTCCATCCCATCGGAACCGGAAAAAAGTTGGATTTAAAGAGATTATAATAATAAAAGTTCAAGATTCCCGTTACAGGATTCATATTACTCGATACATATAATCTGTTGCTTTCGTAAACATATCGTTTTATAGGTTCTTATAGACGTATAAATATGTAAATTGCACATACATATAAAGATTGGAAAATTCTATCTGTCACACCTATCATAAAAATATACCGATTTTACATATGCGATGTACGTGTTTATACGTACATAAGTCCTGTAAAACGACTCTTTTTACAGGTTATTAACGTATTAGACTTCATGTTTCAGTCATTTACACATTTTTATTAATAACGGATAATCTATTAGTAATTATCGTAACAGATTAAAAAAATACGGTACTGGTCTCAATCAAGATATCGTTAAAATAGCTTCTTAAATAAAATTCTAAAAATAAAATTTAACCATGTAATATTATATATCAATTTATAAATGTGGAATGAAATAATACATCAAGTAACTGCATAACTGATTAGTGTGCGTGTGAAACTATTTTTCAAAATTCGAAAAGCAGTTCCCCGACGATAATTAATAATATCTGTTATTATTACAAAATATATATCGATTACATATACTATCTAAGTGAGACTAATAGAAGATTCCTTAATAAAGTGTAGAAAAACCGGTCAAGTAATTGTAGACATTACTATATGTAATACACGCACAATGCAACCATAAGAGAGATAACTGTTCTATGAAATAATGAGTGATTGCTACCTTATGGTAGCAAATGCAATAGAATAAGGGTGCACTTATTTCCACCATGGAGATTTGCCATTTTCACCATGAATAGTTTCGTATATAATCTCTTTGAGGCTTAATATCTCGAGAATCAGTGTCGGGAATCGTCCACATTCGATTCAGCAGAACTTAAGGAATCGAACAATATGTCCTACACTCGATTCCCGTCGCTGGGTCTCGAGATATTAGCTCTAAAGATGTTGCTGTACGTGGAATTTTTTGATGAACGATTTCACGCGTGGCCATTTTGGGACTCAATATCTCGAGAACTAGTGGCGGAAATCAAGTGTTAAACATATTATTCGATTCCCTAGGTACTGATGAATCGAATGGTAAGTTTTAAATTCGATATCCGCCACTTAATCTCGAGATATTAAGCTCCAAAAAGGCCATACATGAAATTTTTCTGGTGAAAAATAGCAAATTAATCATGACCTCCGATTTCTATCATGTGACACAATCCATGTTGCACCAAAGAATGACAATCATCAATACATGTTAGTTTCGAACTTACGTTAAGATTACAATGACACAATACAGTACGGAAAACTCATATACATGTAATTCCATTAGGATCATCCTGTGTTCAATCATCGAAAAAATCTCAGATTAGAAACATAATTCTATGCATTTACAAGCATTTAATGAGTAGTAACACAATATATTTTAATACTTTGTCCAGATTAATTACTTTCGTAAATAAAAAATCTTACATACAGTGATTGTTTCTAATATACAAAAACTATATTTTCAATTGAATTCGGTTATTCTACTTATGTATTTACATGTATTATATAGTGGTTTGCAAAATTAAAATAAAGTTTATCGTCCTTCAAAGAGAATTATCTAGTTCCACACGGGGATTAAGAACTCAAAAATAAACAATTATTCATTGACATTAAACACGAAATCTCTTAAAAGTTCTTAATTATCTTCTGAATATTTATTAAATATAGTAACGTACACGCAAAACTTAAACTACAAAAAGAAATACCCGTGTTTTTTCCGTGTTTCCCAGATTTTTCTAAAAATATATTCTTGATTCAAAATACATACCAAGCAAAACGAGTTCAATTTACGAGCTATATAACTAATACATCATATATCTCATCAATCACATAATATTTGTGGTGAAATAAAATTAAAGGACCAATTGTAAAATTCATAATTTAAGTCAAACCCAAAAAGGAGCACAATAGTATTTGTATTGCCTTATATAAGAATGACCGAATGACATAAAGCAAATTATTCTGTGAAAATAAAAGAAATATTATCTGATAGTTTCATACCAAAAGAATATAACTTATCAACTTCAATGACATTTTGTCATTGAAGTTCTTTACAATAGCATGACAAAACAGTTTATTAAAATCGCGCCTAAAGCTCCCACTAATACCTTTCAACCGATCGTTTATTCAAATTTCACGTACGAAACCAACAGTAACAATCAGCAACATATAACCCCGTCTAACCATTATACTAATGAACAAAGACAAACCCATAAGAATTTCGGATGTATTATTAACCCACAGGACTGCTTCCGTCATGATTACTTGCATCCGGAACAATTGCCCTATAAAATCAGCTTGAATAACAAAATTGAGACAACCGCGGTTGCGAAAAATACATTGAGCTCAAGGCCATTTAACTCCGATTCAACTTTTCATTTCTCAGCAACAGCGCAGCCCTCAAACGAAGCAAGAATCGGTACACAAATGAGAACCTCAAATGATTCCTTACTACTTCCAAATGGCAAGCAACACGATATGGATATTAACCCAAACGTTACCCAAATATTAAAAGCTAAGCGCAAAATATTGTGCAAAGAACCAAGTAATCAATTTCACAAATATAAGCAAACTAAGTTTAAAAATAATAATTTATCCGAGGAAATTTCTTCACAATCAGCAAATCATAAAATTGAATTAAAACAACAAAAAAAATATTCAACCAAAGTATATTTAGATGAAGATTCATTATCGGAAATAGCTGATCAAGCATTTAATCAATCCAAAAAATTCAAGCACACACAACCTACTGAAACAACCTCTCTTCACAATCAACACCCTTTCAATACTTTTTCTCATTATTCCTCCTTTGCACCAAGCTATCTAACTTCCCTACAATTCACGAACACACAAGCATATCCCAATAATAATCACAATTTACCGACTACAGAAACTAGATTCGATTTTCACTTCAACAGCATTGATTCTGATAATGATTTTCAAAATAATAACCTTCGTAAAGATTTTCCGAAACTTTCGTTTCTCCACGAATATGCTTACAACAGCAATATCAAACAGTCGAATTTTGACCCACATAAAGGCAAAGAAATTGAAAATTATTATTTAAAATATCAACCAGATCAGAACTAGTTTTGTTTTCAGGTACATCTCTAACAAGAATAATATATATATATATATGAAGATTCCAAGAATAATTTTCTATTAATCAGATAGAATAAATGCATATATTGATAAATACATGTAGAAAGAGCGAATTAAACTATATGTTTATAATTTCTTCAGACTTAGTTGCTTAGGGAATGAGAAATGCTATTAATTATGATTTCATTTACATGTTACATCGCATGAACATCGATATAAAGTTAATAAAATACAGTATATTGAAGCTTTTAATTTTTAAGATAAGAAATATAACCTTAAGACTTATTTTCTATCGATTACCCCAGCGTAGCAAGAAAAAAATTTCAAGGTATTAACACGGAGAGTCGGATATGATTAATTTATTTCGTCAAGTTTTGTTTGAAGTAGAGTTTGGAACCGGTTTCAACCGATTAATCGATTAATCGGAATTTAATAAAACCGAATTACATGTGCATACAGTATATTCGGTATGATTTTCAGGAGGTTGCTAAAACCGGTTCCAAACTCTACCTCACGCAAAACCTCATTGTAGGTGCGTTTCTTTTCATTACGCTGAGATGAATCTTGTAACTGGATTGCATTCTGACTAACTCCCTGGTTAATATCCTCCCTTTTAACCTCGGTAACAACAATAATCGTATCTCCGATCTTGATAGCCCGCCTTTTCCCTGACTTCCAGAAAAGTTCATGTTTCATATTCTGGACATACTTTTATTTCACCGTCATAACAAGCAGCAACGTCATAAAGAATGGATGAAATAAACTCACGTCGTGTTGCTTCGTTTGAACTAATGATGTGAACGCAGGTCTTATGTTTCATTGCGATATCTTCTGCAACATGATCTGACATTTTTGATATTCAGACATGTCAGCAGACTCTTCATCGAACCTATGTAGATCAATATAACTATCAGCCGTTAACCCGACCAATGACTTGATCTTAAGAAATGTCCTCATTATGCTGTAAAACACCAAATTAAATCCGTTAGAATCTGTTGTGAAAATTTTTTTGAAGAAAAAAATCATACCAAACATTACTTACATGTGTCCACGACGATTGAGAGGTCCATCTTGAATTCTTGAGTCCAGATTACGCTTAACTCAATATATTTCTTTTAATAACTGAGTTCTTTGTAAGAATAAGATCTGAATAAGTTGAACAATAGTTATATTTGCTTTTTATTAAGTTAAATCTTCTAGAATATTATAAGATTTGGCTATAGTAGTAAGTATAGATAAGGCAATTTTACTTTTCTTCTTGCAAATAGTTTTCTTATTAAGTTCTTCCTCAAGTATTTTAGATAGTTCAGTATTATTTATATTCTGATTAAGAATAATTTCAGAAATATCTTCTTGTTAATCTTCTTTATTATCATTAACTTTTTCCTTTTCTTTAATAGCTTTCTTATAGGGTTAACTTACAGATCTGGTTTTATAAGAAGTAGTTCTGGAATTTCTGATTTTTCTTTCAGCAGCCAAGTATTTATATGTATCAAGTAATAAATTTATATTATCTAGTTTGGCAGTTAATGTTTAAATACTATTAGTAAGAGCTTATATTTATGTTAGTAATGCATTTTGATTATTATTATTATTTTAATTAATATTAGCATTTATCTAATTTGATAATATATTATTTTATTACTAATTATTTTTATTTATTCTCTAGTGATTATTTCCAAAGTTATTTTGATTATTCTTATATAATTATAGCTAAAAACAGTTAAGATAGATATAATCTGGCTTATTATAGTTATAATAAGTAAAAACTGATTTGGTATTTTGATTATTAGACTAATAATCAGAATTATTTTTATTATAGTTTGATTCTTTATTGATTTTAATACTTTCTATTTACTGATTAAGATCCTGAAGTACTATCAAAATAGTAATTAGTATTGAGTTATTCTGGATCTGAGATTAGTAACATTTATGAGTTGAAATATCTGCATTAGCTTTTTCTATATTCTTTATTACTTGAATTATATTTAAGAAAGTTTTATCAGCTGAGATCTATATTTATTTTCTAATTTCTGATTTGAGTTTTCTTTTATAAGTTCAGATTTTATATTTTTCCAGATATTTATTATCTGAATCTAATTTATAAAGTAAATTGATAAATTTATTTATATATTCTTTTACAATACCAATCTGTTATAAGATTTTAATTTCATTTTACTATTAATCAATTCTTTCTCTAGTTCAGAAATATATAGTAAATTAATGACTAAAATTATATAACTAGTTATTGTTATCATTTCAGACTATTAACCTGATGATATTATCTTAACTTCTTTTGTTATATCATAAGATAGCAGCATCTTCTAGATTAGAGATGGCATAATAAATATATGATACTTATTTATTACCTATTATAATATATTGCAACTTCAAAATTTTATAAGTTGCAACTAGTTATAACTAAAAAATATTTATTTATTATTATATTATAATAATTAAGAAGCTATCTTTATTTTAGATATTCTCTAACTAGTTATATTTTTCTAAGAGCTATGATTTTATTAGTCTAAGTAATAATATTAAAGTCTTTGAGCTATTCAGTTAGATTTTGATCATTTTCTTTATATTTTCTAATAGAAATAATGATTTTTTTCATAGACTAATTATATAGTTTAGCTATTTGATTAATAAGAGCTTCAAGAATAATAATAAATCTCTAAATTATTATTATTATTATTTTAATCTATTTAATTATTCTTTTCTTCTATTTGTTAGTTATTATTTTTTGAATTAGTTTAAGTATTTTCTTCTAAATCAGAAAAATTATTATTCTCTTTTGATTCTGGAATTACTATAGATTATATTAGAAAAATAATGAATTCTTAAATATCTATTAAGATTATTATTATTGAAAGAGATTTTTGTCTGAGTTTGTAAACTAAAATCTTGATAAATGAATTATTAGTAAAATTATTTAATTAAATCTAATTATTCTTCTTGAATATTAATATGATTAAAAATAAAGATATTAATTAATTATATTATTCTTTATTTAAGATAGGTAATATATATTTCACTTAGATCAAGTTGAATTAATTTGTAAAATAATAGATATATAATTTGATTTACTGATACTACTCTAATATTTTCTATAAGCAAATAAAATATTTAAAATTATAAAGAAAAGTCAAATTGAAGGAGATAATAATAAGGATAAAAGTATTAAAAAAGTATTCTAATAGGATAATTGAAGTCTTAATATACTTATAAATAATAATTAATAGATAATCCAATAAAAAAATAATAATTATAAAAATTCAAGACTTAAAATATTTATCAATTATTAATAATAATAAAAAAGATATAAAAAGAAATATAAAAAGAATATAAATATAATAAGATATAGAAGAGATCTTTCTTTATAGAGAAAATATCAAAAATATATTATAGTAAATTTGATAAGTGAATTTTTACTTGAATTTATCTTAATAATATTAGATTAAGAAAGACTGAATTAATTAAAAGACAAAAAGAGAGAAATTAGATATAACTTTTAATAATAATAAAAATTTCTAAGATCTGTATTAATATTTATAGATATTATCTTTAAAAGAAATAAAATAAATAATAAAAAAATAAAATAAATTAAAGAAATTATAAAGATTGATTAGTAAAGTTATTAGTAATCAATATAATTCAAGATTTAAAATAAATAAATAGTAAAACTATTATTAATTAAAGAAGTCTAATATTAAAGAAAAAGATAAAAACTAAACTAAATAATAAATAACTAATCAAAAAGAGTATAGCTTATTTATAGTAGAGGTCTTTTACTTTTAAAAACAATAAAAAAATAAAATAAAAGTATAACTTATTTATAATAGAGATCTTTTATTCTTAAAATAATATTAAAAATCAAAAATCAATATAATGTTATAATTCAAATCAAAATCAACTTTATATAATCAAAGAAATAAAATCAAGAGAAAGAGTACTAATATTATTATAGTAACATAAATTTCTTTAATTTCATAATTTTTTGAGCTAAAAATTTTTAATTATTAGTTAATCTTTAGAAAATATATAATTTTAAATAATTTAATTAATATATTAATTATGAATTCAGTCATAATTCATTAATATTTTTGTAATATTTCTGTAATATTTTAGCAATACTTCAAGATTATAAATATATAATTAGCTCAAAAATTAATAATAGTTTAGAAATACTTTAAAATGATTTAATAACAAATTTAATTTTATTTTTTTCTTTTTAGAATATATATCTTATCTTTTTAATTTATTTTATTAATTATATTATCTTTTTAACTTATCACATATATCTTATCTCATTATTTTACTTATTTATTTATAATTCTTTATCTCAAAACTTATAATTATATATTAGAATAGCAAATAAGTTTAGATAAAAATTTATAGAATCTTAAAGATATATAAATATCTCTGCTCTTAAATATAAAATAAAATACTTGAATAGCAATAATTTAATTATCTTTGAAAATACTTGAGTTATACTTATCTTGTAATTTTTCTTTGATTTTTATCTTAATATTTCTGCTTTTATTTATCTCTTCTATTATAATGAATTATATTTTGATTATTTACATATTTTTCTTGTCTAAAAAATATAAATAATATATACTTTTCACTTAAAATAAGTCAAATATATTTTATTTAATTTAGAAGATTCTTGTAAGTTTTTTCATATATAAAAGCTTTATTTTATTTTTGATATATATTCTTTATTTACCTAATAGTTGAAAAAATACTATTAAAAGATTTAGTTAGCATACTAAATCTTTTGTTTTAGTTATAGTATTTGTTATTTAGTTTTTAGATATCTTACTCTTAGTTTAGTTTTCATAATTATAACTTCTCTTTATTTTATTTTGTTTTTATCTTATATTAATATAATACTTATGATTATTCTAAAAGTTTTTAAATATTAATATTTATAATTTTCTTTATCTTTATAAATAATTTAGTCTTCACTCTCAAAACTTATTATAGATTATATATCTAATAAAATCTATTTTTATAAATATAGTTTATAATATTTAGTGCTCTCTTTATAAATATCAAACTTTCAAAGATCTTTTTTAACTTGTTTTATTATTTTTATTTATTATTTATTTATTATTTTTAAGAATTAGCTACTCTTGAAATATTAGTTATCTAAATAATTAATTAATTTATAAATATATATTACTTTTTTATTGAATTTCTAATTGATTTGTATCTTAGTAAATATAATCAAGATAATTCTTAAAAATTCTTATCACACATCAAATTATACAATTATTACTCTTATTATTTTCTTGCTAATCAAAATTCAAATAGAAGATTTGTAAATTTTCTTATCTAAACTCAAGACTATTATATGATCTCTCATAATAAACTATTACAGGAATTTTTTAATAATATTGTATAGCAAAATCTTATATTCAATCAACTTTGAAGAGAAATTATCAAATTATTAAATATTTTTATATTTGATATAAAAATCATAGTTAAATAATAAACTTATCTAATTAATAATATTTTCTTGATTCTTAAAAAGACAAATAATTTTGAAATCCTCTTAAATAATTAACTATCTGAATCAGAATATAAAAGTAATAATTTTAAAGATTCTAAAGAACTAATAATTATACTTAAAATTCATAATCAAAAGAAGAAATATTCATGGCAAAAGGAATAAAAAATCTTATTCTAGCTATTATAAAGTTAATTTAAAAATCCAAAGAATAGAGAAGATTCTTATTTCATATAATAATTTTAATTGAATTATCTTTCTTTAGATCTCTTTTAGTTTAGATTTTCATTTTATACTATCTGTATAACAGATTAGCTTTGTATTACATTTTCAAGAAGATCATTTTTACTCTCAATATATAAATAATTATTATGTATTTAATACATCTAGATTTAGTATATTATTACTCAGATAATTATTATATATATCACAATTATTAATTTAGATTATTAATATTTTAATTAATTATTACTTTATAATTTTATTCATTCTTCTTATTATTTATTTATATTATTATTTATTATTATTTATAATTATCATTACTTATTTAAT